ATTCAGGTAACAACTATGTCAATAATCCACCTAAATTCAGAAATGTGGTATTTTCCTTTGGAAGCTGCATTACAGTAAACAGAGGAAGCAGGTCCCTGCTCTCCCACTGAGGTTTATCCACTTCATATCATTATAACACATCAGTAAAGCTGTCTGAGCATCTGCCTGTTGTTATAGGCTACAAATCCCACAGTATTACCAACCACTCCCACTTAATTTTAGCAAACGTCTGCTCCCAATTAAATGCTCTATATTTCAAAGAGCTGCTTCTTCAGTTGAAGATGTATGAAAAGAGCAACACTAACATATCAGGCTCTGGAAAGGACCAGAGACAGTTCTCACTCAGTTAGGTTACTGATATCCCCAAAATACATTAATAACCGTAACTGGGAGAGTGGAATCAGGGGGTCACACTCTCACCCATGCAAACTTCGATTCATTTCATATTTGAATTGTGAGGCTATGTTTGCAGTTTTTTGTTAAAGAACTGGGCAATCTCTTCCTTATGAGAATGCTTGAAAATCATTATGAGAAGACCTCTTAATTATCACTTTGATAAATTCAGCAGACTGAACTTCTGAAGTCTTTCACTGGCAATGGTTCCCTGATTACACATTGTTACAGAACCATAGAATCACAGGATCACAGACTGGTTTGGGCTGGAAAGGACCTTAAAGCTCATCCAGTTCCAATCCCCTACCATGGGCAGGGACACCTTCCACTAAACCAGGTTGCTCCAAACCCTTTCCAACCTGATCCTGAGCACTGCTAAAGACGGAGCATTCACAACTCCTTTAGGCATCCTGTTTCAGTGCCTCACCACACTTGGAGAATCTCTTCCTTATATCCAATGAAAATCTCCCCTGTATCAGTTTTAAATAATTACCTCTTGTTTTCTTCCACAGACAGGAACACCTTCCACTACACCAGGTTGCTCCAAGCCCTGTCTAACCTGGCCTTGAACACTGCTAAAGATGGAGCATTCATAAATCCCTCAGCCAACATGTTCCTGTGCCTCACCATACTTGTAGTGAAGAATTTCTGCCTTATATCCAATGTAAATCTCCCCTGTATCAGTTTTAAACCACTACCTCTTGTCCTGTTCTTGAAACTTTTCTCTGAATTAATCTCAAAGAATTTTATATTCTCCTAAAAGTATACTTAATCTGGACATTAACACATATAACAATTACACTTGTACACAGGTTGTGTACAGAAAAGTAGCATCACCTTCAGGATCTTACCTGATATGTGCCTTTTAACCCAGCAGTATTTTGGGGACAGAGGCCATGTCCAGCACAATAAAAAGCTCATGAGAAAGCAGCACAAGATCACATAAGGAAAAACATGAAGCAAAATACCTTGCAAAAATCAAGAATTCAGACAGCAAAATGTTTTATATTTCCTCCTTCACCTAATGCTGTAACATACTATACTCACTTGAGCATTCACTCTTTCAAGAGTTTATGATTCTCTCTACCAAGTATCATCTAATTCTACCTACACTATCAGTCAACAAAAGTACATAATGTACATTATTTTCTTCTCTATTAATTTCTGTTTAAATTTGGCAGACTAAAATTTCAAGTCAGATGCTTGTTATTAAAATAAATCTGTGAACAAGCACAGGGCTGTTGCATATGTGCTTTTCATATATTAAATGTGATAAGTAGAAAAAATGCAGAGAGAGTTTCTGAAACACCACTGTTAAGTGTCTTGCATTTAATTCTAGTTTTTCCTTAGCAATTGCTGCATGAAATCATACACAGGTTTTATCTCAACCCCACGTCTTTGAAGGTAGGGGTGTTGCTTTTTTTTAATTCTTTTTGCTATTTGGGATTTATATTCCATTTACTGAAGTTCCAACAAATAACATTCCCTAGAATGCTTCTCCCCCACCACCTCCCACCAAATATTTTCTTAAACTTTATATGGTATATCAGACATATGAACTGTTACTTACCTCTACCTTCACAGAATGCCTGTTGATGGCTTGATTACAGTCGGACATGTTTGTTTCCCCCTTTGAAGCCTTTCTCTGATAGGGTCCCTTATGTAAAACTCTATATAATTAACAAAATTCCCTGCAATACAAGTATCTCCTGAATTTTAATTCTGATCTAGCTTGACTTGCCACATTAACTGAATTAAAGTGGTTTCCTGGAAGGACACTGTTTATTGATGAGATGACTTAACCAAATGTTAGCTTGGCAGGTATCCATAGTCAGTAAGGAGACATATAGAAATCTGGGGTGAAAAAACAATCAGATGGAAATTTGTTTTCCAGTTCTTTTGAAATTAGTCTACTTCAACTCTTAAAACTCCATTTTCAAGCATTCTTGATACAACCACCCAAAGCTCTGGGACATATTCTGTCCATTAGAAGCCTGTATTTGCGCATTTCACTTAAAGCTACTGAATCCTTCTGGTGAATACAAAAAACCCCACCATGTAGACACTTGATATTGCCAGGTGTCGTGGTTTAACCCAACCAAGCAGCTTGTTAACTCACTCCCCCCCCCCTCTTGCCCTCCCCCTACTCTCGGAGGGACGGAGAGGAGAATCAAAAAGAATGCAACTCCCATGGGTTGAGATAAGAACAGTTTAGTAACTAAGGTATAACACAAATCACTACTGCTACCACCAATAATAGTAATGATAAAGGAAATAACAAGGGAAGAGAATACAACACCCCATCACCAGGCAACCGATAACTTGCTCCCCCCGGCCCGACCAAGCACCGACCGATACCTCCTCCAACCCTGCAGTCCACCCTAGCCCTTCCGGTGAAGTCCCAGTTACCTCCTGGGCATGACGTGCTGTGGTATGGAATACCTCTTTGGTCAGTTTGGGTCAGGTGTCCTGTCTCTGCTTCCTCCCGGCTTCCCCTCCTCCCTGGCAGAGCATGAGGCTCACAAAGTCCTTGGCCAAACCAAAACATCATTTTTATCAACTTTGTTCCCAGCCCGAAAGTCAAAACACAGCACTGTACCAGCTACCAAGAAAGAGAAAAATGACTGCTACTGCTAAACCCAGGACACCAGGGACTTCTTTAAGAAGAATAAAGATGCCTATAAAGCACCAGTACACCACTACTGCTGTGACACAGGGATGACACAATCAGCTTTTGGAGTTTCAGTTCCTTCAGAAAAAGGTATAGGGCTTAGGTGAAAGCAGGCATGCCCTGAAGATAATGTATGTTTGTGAAGGGGAAGGTCCAGAATGGGTTCAGCTAACCATAAACATTTAGGAAGAAGTTGAATATTCACAGCAAGGAACAAAGGAAGGATCATAACTCTGCATGACAAGAACCTAAGCTTATCGCATACTAATCCAAGTATCATAATGGTGTTCAAATCTCTGTTAAGACCTAGGTGCCTTGTAGAGATTACAAAACAAATCAGGTGAACAGAAGGAAGTGGGTGTGGTGATAATTATCACAGTATCACAGTATGTTAGAGATTGGAAGGGACCACAAAAGATCATCTAGTCCAATCCCCCTGCCGGAGCAGGAACACCTAGATAAGGTTACACAGGAACGTGTCCAGGTTGGTTTTGAACGTCTCCAGTGAAGGAGACTCCACAACCTCCCTGGGCAGCCTGTTCCAGTGTTCTGTCACCCTCACTGAGAAGAAGTTTCTTCTCAAGTTTAAGTGGAACCTCTTGTGTTCCAGCTTGCACCCACTGCCCCTTGTCCTATCATTGTTTGCCACTGAGAAGAGCCTGGCTCCGTCCTCGTGACACTCCCCCTTTATATATTTATATGCACTAATAAGATCACCCCTCAATCTCCTCTTCTCCAAACTATAGAGACCCAGCTCCCTCAGTCTTTCCTCATAAGGGAGATGCTCCACTCCCTTAATCATCTTAGTTGCCCTGCGCTGGACTCTCTCCAGCAGGTCCCTGTCCTTCTTAAACTGAGGGGCCCAGAACTGGACACAATATTCCAGATGAGGTCTCACCAGGCTGAGTAGAGGGGAAGGAGGACCTCTCTCGACTTACTAACCACCCCCCTTCTAATACACCCCAGGATGCCATTGGCCTTCTTGGCCACAAGAGCACAGTGTCGGCTCATGGTCACCCTGTCGTCCACAGGAATTAGGAAATTGGGAATTAGGAAATTAGGAATTAGGAAAGTTTATTAAATACCTGGTTATAGGGAAGCAATACTGTGCAAAACAGATTGTTTAGCAGCATATACACTGTCACAGGATAATTCTCTGTGCTTCACATCTTATTTTATGACAATATTTCGACATAGCACAGGGGTGGAAGCAAAGGAGGGCAAACACAGTTTCCACACCTGGGAACAAAAGAAAGCTGAGAAGTTTCGGATTTTGAATTGAACTTTAGGTCTCAAGAAAATATCAAAGAAAAAAAGAAAGAAAGAAAGAAAGAAATTAAATAAGTAACAGCTAATGATTTAATTCCATGGCAAGATAAAAGGTTTTATGGAGTTAAATGTTTTGACACTGTCTCATCTGATATACTCATGAAAAGGGTAAAAAACAGTCTAGATGGAAATAGATTAGCACAGAGGCAAAGCTGCTTAGAGAACAATTCTCAGGAAGTTATTATCAATGCCGCTTCATCAAAATGAAACAATACAGCTACTGAAGTTCCCTATTGATTCAGTCCTAGTTAGAGTTTTCACTAGTGACAAGGATGCTGGCAGATAAAACAAGACAGCCAGTTGGAAGGACAAGCCTAGAACTGAAAGTTATCTTGACAAGGTGGAACTATGCTTTGAAAAACCATACTGAACCAAAATAAATTACCTTTAAACATGGACAATATTCTGAGTCTGGGACCAGTAACCTATTATACAAATACAGCATGCAAAAATGGTGTCACAGAAAAGGATTTGGATGTTTTTATGGTTCAGGAGCTAAACATTGTTTTATGCTGCTGTAAATGGGATGTATCTGCTAATGCACAGTTCATTAAAAGTAAGAAACTATCCTGTATGTATTTATCAATAATATTTATCAAGAATAAATACACAGAATATTGTGTCAAATTTCAGGCATTTCAATAAAGATGAGGCTCAGCTGTGGTTAGTCTGGAGGAAACAAGAAAAATTACAAAGATAATACGACTTGTGAAAAAGGGAAGAGGAGAGAAAATAAGGAAAGAGTAAGAGAAGGTTATGATAAGTTTCTGAGTACCTTAACAGCTGCTGCAAAGACGGTAGTATGAATTGATTTTCCATGCCTAGGGACTACATAGAATCATAGAATGGTTTGGGTTGGAAAGGACCTTAAGATCATCTACTTCCACCCCCTGCCACGGGGAGGACACCTTACATTAGATCATGTCACCCAAGGCTCTGACCAACAGTAACAGATTTAAATTGCATCAAAAGAAAGAACCAAGTTAGTCCTAAGGAAAAAGAAAATCTAACCATGTGGAAAATAATACAGTAAAATATAATACAAATATAATCTGTGATGTATCTATCCCCCACAATTAGTCCCTTCATTCTACAGATGTGGACTGACAGAAACCTAATGAAGTCTGACAAGGGCAAATGCAAAGCCCTGCCACTGGGATGAAGTAGTAGTCCCTGTGTTACTTTTTGTATAAGGTACAGAGTATGAGACAGATGCTGATGTACTCAAGTAAGTCCATTATGATTTAGAGCATGGGGCACATGATGTATAAGGAGAAGCTGAAAACTAGAGTTGTTCAGTCTTCAGAAGACAAAGCTCATACTCAAACCAGAATTGCCTAACAGGAAGCTGTCAAGAATAGAGAGTGCCAAACCTTAGAAAAAGGTCAATTAGACCAGCTTACTCAAGACCATGTGCATCTGGTCCTCAGTATCTGGAATATTCCAAAGGATAGAAATAATATCATAGAATCATAGACTCATAGACTCAACCAGATTGGAAAAGACCTTTAAGGTTATCAAGTCCAACCATTACCGCAGGATTGCCAAGCCCAACATTAAACCATGGCACTAAGGGCCTCATCTACACGGTTTGTGAACACTTCCAGGGACAATGAATCCACCACTGCCCTGGGCAGCCTGTTCCAATGCCTAAACACCCTCTGAGGAAGGAATTGTTCCTATTTTCCAGTCTAAACCTCCCCTGGCACAACTTAAGGCTGTCTCCTCTTCTCCTATCCCTTGTTCCTTGCGAGAAGAGACCAGCCACCTCCTGGCTTGAGCTTCCTTTCAGGTAGCTGTAGAGAGCAATAAGGTCCTCCCTGAGCCTTCTCTTCTCCAGACTAAACCCCCGCAGTTCCCTCAGCCATTCCTCATCAGACTTGTGTTCCAGGCCCTTCACCAGCTCCATTGCCCTTCTCTGGACCTGCTCCAACACCTCTATGTCTGTGTTACAGAGAGGGACCCAGAATTGAACACAGGATTTGAGGTAGCCAGTTTAGCTTCCCCTTTTGCAAGTTGAAGTCTCACATGGTGAGTCAAGTTTGCACAGTACATATTCCTACTAAATCCACAGGCATTCGAAGACACCATATAAAAGTGTCACTGGAACATGAACTTATAAACCAGGAAAATGCTTGCAGATGCCTTGCCTCATTTTCATTTTCTTCTTTTGCCATCACCATCATCACTCACAGTAATGGTGCAGCAAATTTGCTATATTTTCTCAGCACAGCTGGAGAAGTCATCCGACTTTTGTCTTGCACCACCCCTTTCCAGGTACTCTGCTTGCAGCTATTTGTCATGAACAAATAAATTGACCTTAACTATTACGAATACTCAGACTGCTTTCCATGAGAGATGGCACCTTCAGACCCTGTACATTCAGCACCAGGAGGAAAGGGAAATATTTCTATTATTGAACTCCTTGGGACTGTCTTACTTGGAGGTATTTATTTTAATAAACACAAGGTCATGATGCTGGCATGAAGACAACACAGGTTCTCCCTGAGCGTTGTTCTCTGATTACACATGATCCATCTTGCTTTTGTATCTCTGGCTGAATTTTGTCAGCCTTAGCTGGGCAGCTCCTGTTAAAATTAGAGAAAACCTCAAGGGAGTCCTGTTTCATAAAGACAGGACTGTAATTCTGGAAAGTTAGCAGACATTTTCACATGCAGTAACAGCTCCACCACCTCTGTGCTGCTTGCACTTTCAAAACCCCTCCCATCATAGTAAGCTACGAGACTAGCATCTATGCTCGAGTGTTAAGGGCAAGGCTGCTGCTGTCTTATTCACCATTTTCATTGTGAATGCAAAATAGAACGTAGCAATGGAGGTCTTGGTCATTAAGGAGCATTTTTAAAAGCCAGAAATGTGATATTACTATTGTGATTGGATCTAGAATGAACAATTGCATGCTTTGTTACACAACTCTATTTCACTAGACTAATTATAACATCAAACCAGCCAGGGCCACTCAGTTTTACAGATGTTTCAGTCCACTGCTGATGCCACAAAGCACCGACATGTCATAGCGCAGAACATCAAAAACAATATGATGAAAAATCACACATGGCCCTAAAAAAATTCTTGTGAAAAAGGTCATTGTATTCCAGTAAGGATGGTCTCATTGTTACTTCTTTTCTATGCCAGTGAATGGAGAACTAAATGCTCTTAGAAATATCTTAGATGCTGTATCCTTTGTCAGTGATGAAACCACCAAATAGAAAAAAGAAGAAAACAAAAAGATCATTGACTGTGAAGGCAAAATAAAAAAATTCAAACAAGCAAACAAAAAAACCCAAACAAAATTCTCAAGCCTTCAATTCTCTTAACATATAATTTATTAGAGATTGAGCTTTGTTCTGAATCTAAATATAAAGACCACAAGCTAACATTCCATATATCAGAAAATAGAAAGGAAACCTTGCTGGAATTCTGTTGACCTAACAGACACACTCAGTAACTGCATTTAGCTGTGTATTAGACACCAGCACAATAGTGCTGTTTGGTAAATGACAATGTACAGGAAGAATATGGGAGAGGCGGGGGGAATCTTTTATATCATTCTAACCCAAGGAAAGTGTGGACAAGAAATTATTTCAAGCTGAAAAAAACCTATAATACAGCATATGTCTCCCTTCCTGTTTACTTTCACTTACTAGCACAGAGATTTTAAAGAACTGGTAGAAAAGGATTAATTCTTTTCCTTTAATTCTTTTTTTTTCATTTTTTATAGACAATTATTAATCAGAGTATTTTTTCTGAAGCCAGGGTGAAGCTTCTAATGTTCATAGCAAACACATAGACCTTAGAAACTTGCCCTATGACTTACTGTTGCATTTGAGAAACCATGTATCCACTGTCTGTCTTGTTTCTCAGGCTTAGAGAATAATAAAAACCTTCTCAATATTCATGGTACTATATAAGAATGGAAATACATTTGTGCTTCCTTCAAAAATGGCCAAAAATTTGGCTGCTGCCAAAAGTGATTAACCTTCCTGCTAACGCTGCCATTTAGAACAAAACCTGTATTTCAAAAAACATTTTTATTACCATTCACTTTGAGACTGTTAACCACTATGGTAATGCATTATATTTTCTGTGTTAACAATGATGTGCACAATATCTGGGTCCTTAAACATTCTCTATCTCTTTATTTTTCTTAAGCTAAATAACCTGTTCTGTACTTAGGGTGAAGACAGGCAATCAAGCTTTTAATTTCAAATCCCATCATTTTCCTATATACACTACGCAAAAACTGGGACCTCTATACCCAGAAGATTTGGTGACAACAGGCAATTCAGTCACAGAAAGAATTCTCAGACCTCCATGCTGAAATGATTCTTATACAAACAGGTTTCAGCGCATTTCATTCAATACTGAGCATGACCATATATCTATGCTCCCTGGAATACTTTGCAGTGACCAAAACATCATGCAGAGCAAACGCAAGCCTGTGTCATGTTTGCCATCAACCCTTTCTTCCACCTGGCACCCCTTGTACACTGATCAGGTCCCTTTCTATGCTTAAAGCACCCTAGGTGTACTCTCAGTAACCCCGACCGCAAAGGTCAATTCAGTTTGCATTCTGAAAAGCTTCTTTACCTGTGCTCTGAGTTTTCCTCTTTCTATTTCTGATAGTATGCATTATTAATCATCTCTTCTGACTCACTCATACCACATGTAAAGCACAATTGTTTTACCTTTTAGTGCCAATTTTGCAAGCACTCAATCTCTCCACTATATATTATTATGCACATTCAGATGCATACAGTCCTTTCTTGTTCTTGCAGTTCCCACAGGTGACTCAGTTGTTTCCTAAAACTAATGCTAGAAGACATAATTAAATAATAACAATAACAATAATAATAAGAACTATAGCAAAGATGAGGAAGTGTTGATGTTAAAGCTAAGGTTTTAGATGCAAACCTCTCTCTTCCTTGGTTTGCTATAGGCTTTACTACAGATCATCACTACACAGATGCTGATCCTGTCTGGAAACAGATATCTGTCTTGCTGACATGCTATTTGGCATCTGAAATTTCTACAGATGTATTTGTCCTTCAGCAAGGAAATGTCCTACTTTGAGTTCAGATTACTCTTGGTGAGGAAGGAAGGAGAAAAGGAGTATGCACTATTAACTCTTCATCAACTGGTGTGCTACAAAAAGACAAATCAGAAACTTATAAAAATAATTAGGATTATAAATCAGAATGAAATATTAAACTGTTCAATCCCTGTTCTTATACATTGTTCAGGAAAACACTGTAGATGATCTTTTTTTACGCATTAATAATCTATCAAAATTACTTAATATTTGCAAAAAAGAGAAAAATAATTTGCTTAATGTTTAGACCACAAATTTCAAATCTGTGGTTCAAATCCTACAGTAGCATTGTTGAAGTGCAGCAAAAGGAGTGTAATACCTTCTTTTGTCTATGCTCTTATTGCATAGTATCACTCAGGCTTAACTCATGCCCATGCTTAGTCACTGATACCATGCCTGTGCTTTGAGCAGATTTGCGCTAGGGATTAACTTAACCAAATTTGGAAAAGACTTTAGTATCATCAAGCACGAGGTGTTGCATAAAGGGAGGGAGGGAGGGGGACACCTATAATTTAATTCAACCTAGGGATTTAATAAAGAAATCCTCTGAATAATCACA